AWRAWGAAGAAGAAGAAGAAGAAGAAAGTGCAGAGGAGCAGGTGAGGGAAGAACTATTCAAAAAATRTATTTTGGCATGTGAGATCATAAAGTACTTCGGCTGTTTCAAAATTTGGCATTTCTAAAATCAGATATTAGTAAATTGCTGCTTTAAAGAGAATAAAACTTTGGCCAAGTTACAGCTTAATGTAATCTGTAGCAAAGCAGACCAAATCTGGTGCTCTGAAACTGCTAGGACAAACTGTTAAGAACGTATGATTGTGTGTTTCAGACCCCTGGGCTGTCCAGAAAGCGAACGAGGGCGTCGTTGTCTGACATTTCAAGCCCGGAAGACATTGAAGGGTTGAGTGTTCGGCAGCTGAAGGAAATACTTGCATGTAATTTTGTCAACTATTCAGGGTGCTGTGAAAAATGGGAACTTGTGGAGAAAGTGAGCAGACTATACAGAGAGAGTGAGGAAAACAACAAGACRCGTAAGTTTATATTTAATTCTTGCTTTCTTAGAACTATTTTTCTGGTCTCAACTGGCTAGTTCTGCCAATAAAGGGCTTCTTAGCACCTTTACTTCAGGGCCTTGCTTGAACTGCATCTARCATAGCTGGACATAGTACTTGTTAGGAATTAAGGCTTCCACGGATTGTGTTGCTTTCCAGGACCTTTTTTCCCCSCAAAGCTCAGACACCCCAGCTTTTAGAACAAAGGTAAATTGCACAATTGAAAACCAGTTTCTTGGACAAAGGCCGGGCATGTCTAGGCCCTTAATTAGGTTTCACAAGKTACCAGTGGAGAGCATCTGCAGTAGCTTTCTCCAGGCCAAAGGAGTTCGGGTCCTTTACTGTGGTACAGAAATAAAAGACAGGGTGGCAGAGATCCAAGTGGTTTGGTCTAAATCCAYGTTTCCCTGATAACAGCGGTTCGGTGGCTGCAGCTGAATGACTAGTTATCTCCTATCCTTTGTTACACTGAATTTCAGCCTTTAAGCTGTAAACTGATTCCTGTGAACCAAGTATAATTTGAGAAACATCTCTTTGATGTCCTGACAAGCTCAGGAAATTCTTGCCTGGCCGTGCACTCCTGCAGCTGGTCGCTGCTGCTGTTGTGCAGTCAGGTGGTAAAGATCAGGGAACTGCAGACTGGAAAATCTGCCCTGGGCTTGTTAGCAGCCAGGTTGTGACTGCACTAGTGTTTCAGCTGTGAGATTTGGGTGAGAAATAAACAGCTAATCAGGTGGGAAACCAGTGCAGAAAGGGCTTGGAAGATGGTGGCCTGTCTTGTCACACCGTCTTGAGTAGGGTTGCTGAGTGTCAAACTGGGGCTTAAGTGAGACTTGGACCTGCCAACTAAAAGTCTAAAATCTTTCTGAAATCAAATTTAGGATTTTTTTTTTCCCCACAGTTGTCTTACAGAATATATTCTGTATATAGATCATATATATATATATATATATATGGGTGGGAAATGGACATGTCTGTTTTTGGTGAAACTTGGCAGGCTTTCTTCACATCTGTCATCTTTACAGCTTGCTTGATTAACGTTTCCACTTCTTAGTTTGCCTTACTCTCTACTCTGATGTTTAATCTTCTGCTGAACGTACTCTTCCATGTGAAGTAAGCCAAGAGATGGAAAAGCAGCATGCTCTGAATTTTAATCCTGCACACTAGTCACTGTTACTAAATCTGGAGACCATTTCCAATCCTGARGCTAAAGAATGAAGCCAAATTTTGGGTGTTAGCTTGGGGAGGGAGTTGGGATAATGGTTGTTTTTTAAGACTCTGTAATAGTTCTCAGCTAGACACCTGTGGGCTGTTAGCACCACTGCACAGGTGCTGCCGAGCGCGTTTATGCTGAATGGGACTGTCTCCAAGAGGTGCTTGGGCTAGAATGGCACTGGGTCTGCGCTGCCCGGCCCCATGACACGTTGCTTTGCAGAGGGGGAGAAGATGCAGCTGAACGACAACGACGACAACCTGTGTCGGATCTGCATGGACGCCGTGATCGACTGCGTCCTGCTGGAGTGCGGCCACATGGTCACGTGCACCAAGTGCGGCAAGAGGATGAGCGAGTGCCCCATCTGCCGCCAGTACGTGGTGCGGGCAGTGCACGTGTTTAAATCCTAGGGGCAGGCCCGCGCTGGGTTCGGCTTCCGGGATTTCTGCGAGCGGGAATACTGAAGCTGGGGGCAGGGGCAGATTTTAGTTCTCAGAATAAAGCATAACATGTGGAACATCTGGAAGCAGAGGCGTTGGTGAATGACTTTTCTATGGTGTACTTAAACTGGCAGTTGGGCAGTATGAGGCCCCTGTGTACAGTAATAGAGCTGCCTGACTTACCTTATAAAACCACAAACTGTTCAAGTCAAACTGTTTACAGCTGACCTAAAGTCACTTCTTGCTCTCTTCTGAAGAATATCACCTCTAATTACTGCATTAAGGATTTGAGAAATGGTCAGGAGAACACCTTTACTGGACCGTGCTGTTAGACTATTACACTGTCTAGTGCATTAGAAGCAATGAATTTATCGRTTGTATATTCAGCTTTTATGTAATTAAATAGAGAATGTAACTGTTCTGACACTGTTTCTGCAACAGCGTTAACAGTCTATAAAATAAGATTGTAGAAAGCACTGCCATTAACTGTACCTGCACAGCAGTTCCTAGGCAATCTATTTTTATGCTGATTGCTCCATTCTAAATGTCTGTCATTACCTGTGTATCCTCTTGGCCCTTCTTTGTAAATGTGCAACAAGTGCAGTCATCCTGCAGGGCTCTCTTGGGGTGTCCAAATGCACCTATGATTTTTGTTTGTTTGTTTAGGAGTGGTTTTTTTTTTTTTTTTTTTTTTTTTTAGGGATACTAAACCGTCCTCTTATGGTCCTTAGGTCATCCATGCCTATTGTATTAATCTTACACGCAATGATTGTATTTTATGTGCCGACAACCTGATGTTACTGTGAATACTAATCAGGGTCAGGAAACTACTTGCTGCTAACTCTGGAATGTATGGTCCTGCCCCCGTGACGGGAGCGGGGARGAGAAGCATGATCTTTGTTTAAAATTGGTACCCGAGGCTGGGCCGCTATTAAACAAACTTCCWCTTAACGTTGCCGCGTGACCTGTGTGTAACGTGGTGCTGCTGCGCTGGGCTTCCAGCCGCACGTGTCACGGAGAGGAGYGTGAGGCGAATCCCAGGGGAATCCGAGGTCGGTGCTGGGGGCTCCCTCCTGGCCCCCGGGCCGGTTGGGGCAGCGCCTGCGCGAAGGCAGCGGCCGCCTCTTCAGCTGYCCCTGGCCAGAGGCAGCTCCTGGGCAGAATCAAGGAAGGAGGGAAGAGCCCTTGCACATGCGCTGGTACCCGAGGCTTCCTGGCTGCTCACCTCTGCTGCTTTACATGTCGTTCCTAGGCTTTGCCTTTTGCTGCAGAGAAGTAAGCTGGCTGCCAGGCTTAAAAATAAAAAATAAAAAATAAAAAATAAAAAATAAAAAATAAAAAATAAAAGCTCCTCAAAATAAAGCCTACAGCTTAAAGCTGATGCTAGTTATTTTTCAGAAGGGAGCAAACCTCTTCATCGCTTTATTTTTCAGGAGTAACTTTTTAAAGTATCAAATTCCTGGAGTCTCTGTGCAGGGGGATATAAACCAGTTACAAAACCAGACGGTGCGCCGCGTTACTTGCAGTCTAATTCTCAGCCACTCCTGGTCAATAAAGATTTACGACGGGCTTCTCCAGCCTCTGCGTCTTTCCTTACCCTAGCACTACTGCACGGGCAGCTCCTCCTTACCCCTGCCACACCTGTACAGGGGGGTCTGCGTGTGTGTTTAGTAACAGATCCTATAAAATGCCTCCCTCCAGGGCAGCGCTTCATTTCGAGCTGGAACAGAAACCCTCATAGACAGCGTCTGTTTTTGTACAATTGTTTATACAAATTCAACAAAGGTAAAACTGCATCAGGAAGGTCTACGAAAACAACACCTTACAACAATGGCACTTATGAATGCAGAATTTTACAATCAGGAAATAACCATGTTATAAACCTTAAATGAGAACTCAACTCACACTTCAAAGAAAGAGAGACTACGTTTGACCATTTATTCTACTGCTGGACTCACTGTATAAATTAATTTTATATTGAGTACAAGAGCTCATGCTACAGAGTGAAACCCTCCTATGTGCAAAAGCTGAAATTGGAATTTTTAAAATTTTGAGAAAAAGGTGATTTCTATACAGATAAAACTTGGCAAAGTGTTTTACTTCAACTATAATTTACACCTTATTTCCACAACATGCTTATGTCACTTCTGAAGTATACAAAGCAGGATATAAACTTCCATTAAAACATGCTTTAAGTTGAAAGTATGAACCTACTTTTCCTGACCTGGGCACGTTTGTAGATAGATACTGTCTACGAAGTATAGGTTAAGTTCTCTCCTACCATAAGTAAAGATAAAAATTGGCAATCAAAACCGAAACACTGGTAATGCATTCAAACATTGCATAAATAATTTTTAAACAATTTTTGTACAAAAATAGTTCTGCATAATGTAAGATGTAACAAAACAAAATGTGTTAAGAAGGCAGAAATGCAGTGCGTGGTCCACTTTAATGACACCAACTTTTCTGTTTAAGAAATGAAAAGCAGAAATCAAATTTACACTACCAAGCACATGCTGTGGTACTTTAAATAACAGTATTTCTTGGAGATCAGTCGTCTTCCGGGTGTGAACAATTATCAATAACAGTCGCCTTATGAGTTTGCATAAGAGCCAGTGCAGGACATCCCAGGTAGACTGAATGAGTGGCACAGGTTGAAATTCTTAACATGGGTAGTTTAATGTTGTCTCCTTGACAAGAGTTGTAAAATCCAATCGCGATAGTTTCCAATATTCCAAGTTCCCAATTGAAAATAAAATCCCTACATGTTCTTAGTCCCTTCCCCCCCTCCCCTCGCCCCAGTATTTACACGTGTCCTTTAACTAACTCAGTTTTTGCAGAAGTTTTTCTTCCACTTGCCCAAACTGAACGCTTACGGACATCTCCGCTATGAACTGCTCGCAGCCTTCCTTGGTCACCTGCTTGCAGTACCTCAGGTCAATCTGGCAGATGTTTCCACAGCGTTTGAAGTAGGACAGGCACTGGTCAGTCACCTTATTGCAGTCTGCAGAGAAACCACAGCGAGAGAATTTAAAGCACCTCTGGCCTGGACGCGCAGCCCCAGGGCGCTCTAGGCCGACCGGGCTCCRTCCTTTCTGCTCCTCCTTCAGGGGCCCAATTCATGGCTATGTTACCCCCCAGCAGCCCCACGACAGCTCCCTGACCCCCCTCTCGCCTAACTGGCCACACGAGGCCAAACGCAGCAGATGTGGGAAGCAGCAGCGCTCAGAAACCCCACRCAGAGGAGGAGCCGGGTGCAACACGTGGCCCTGAACAGGGACGTCAGCTGCTCGGGGCCCGGCKGGGCTGCGCGGCTGCAGGGTTTTATACAGGCAAAACACGGAGTAACCGCAGAGCCCGACTACGGATAGGGGAATTACACCGGGAAGGGAAAGGGGACGGGTAAGAACCCTTCTGCTAACRGTCACCTCACGCGCTTCCCTCCTCCTCCCCTCCCTCGCGTTTGTGCTCCCACCTGATAAATTAATTTCTGTTAACGAATCCCGCGTGGTGGTTCCGACTGCAGTCAGCAGGTTGATAGACTGATCCGTCACATGATTACAGTAACTAAGATTGAGTTTGGAGAGCAGAGGCATGTGCCGAATGATCAGTCGTAAAGAAGCATCCGTTATATCCAGACCAGCCAAACGCAGTTCAACTATGTTCCGTAGTTTACTCCGGTTGTCAATCTGACCTGGAAAAGGCGGGTGGGGAGGCCGTTCACAAAAGCGCCATCCACTGTGGCAAACATTTGCAGATCTATATGAAATGCACTGAAACACACAACGCTGCTGCCCTACGTTCACTTCAGATGGTTTTGCCTGCCTGGGGCTTTTGGAGGCGATATCAGCAGGAACACTTTTCTATTTTTGGCACAGGCTCGTGGAGAAACCCACCTCCTGATATCCAAACAGAGGGACAGAAGTAACTGCAGGGACCCAGCAGAATTACTTAGTCAGGAGTAAGCAGTAGGCTGTGCAGTGCATGCCAGAAAGCAGATCTGATTTGCTCAAAATTTCACCTGAGCTGATATCCGGGCGAATGGGGCATGACCCACAGAACTGCTCCTTCCCTGAACTGGAAGAAAGTGTTTCCATACTCTCTAAAGTACACCCGTTGCAGCCTGAAGAGAAGAAAGTCAGACAGAAAACCAGCACAGTGGCTAAGATGACTGTTCAAGCAGCCAGAGAACACAACGTGTCACCCGGTGGCTTCCAGCAGGGTGCTGCAAGTCGCTACCGCAAGCACCGTGCGCGCAGCCGAGCCCAGACCCCAGCGCGCGCTGCCGCAGGGGCTTCTGCTCGTCTCCTGCACGCGGGGCTGGCAGCACAACAGGGCCCGGAGCGAGCGCAGCGAGAGGCCCCCGCGCCCCCCGCCTCGTTACCTGGCCGGTTATCTGTGGGTGGCGACAGGAGGTCTCGCATTTGTGCGTCTTTCAATCCTTCCGCCCACTGCACGTCCAGAATTCGGAGTAAAGGACAACTGGAACTACAAAGTGCCGACACTGCTATCCATGAGCACCCTGATAACAGCAGGTCTCGGAGACCTGCAGATACAGAAGGAATTGGAGCACTCGGAGAGAGGCACGCGGTGACGTCGGCTCCCCCGTGCTGCTGACACCCGATGCTGCTCTGTGGGACACTCCTGGCGCTCTGGGACGTGCAGGGAGCCTCATCCCGCCCCGATGCTGCTCTGCAGGACAATCCTGGCGCTCCAGGACACAGGGAGCCTCCTCCTGCCCCGATGCTGCTCTGCGGGACAATCCCGGCGCTCCAGGACACAGGGAGCCTCCTCCTGCCCCGATGCTGCTCTGCGGGACAATCCCGGCGCTCCGAGACACAGGGAGCCTCCTCCCGCCGCTCCCCCCCTCGCCCGTGGGCGGGAACCGCGTTGCTGTGGCTGACACCGCACAACCTGGGGTGCTGCCCACAACCACCTGCAGACTAAGACCTGCCCCGCGCTACTTCCACAGGGAACGTCAGGCACTCGCGACGTAACTCGCTCCGGGCCCATCCTCCCCTGCCGAGGCTTCACTCCTACCCATCCGCTTCTCTCCTAGGATACCTGGAGCCCTTTACACCTTGCTCAGGGGTTCCTCGCTTTTGGCAACACTCGGTTTGGTAGAGTTGGTGGAATGGTCAAAGCGTCACTTACCTGGGAGTCTGTTGATAAGCCAACTCAGCTGCTTTTTAGATATATTTGTCCAGCTAAGATCAAGGGTTACAGGCTGTCTCCTAATAATGCCACTAAGCATAAGTGGAGTGATGGATTTACAATGGCTTAAATCTATTTTGGTCCATAATCTTTTGTCACAGCACCTACCCAAAAAGAAAAAAAAGCCAACAGCTTAATTTGGTTCTTGTTCTGSGCTTTGCAAGATCTTATAAGGCATCATTAAATGTATGGAAACTACTCCATTTAACTGGATAGGGCAAAAATGAGACCGAGGGACCCTCCCATAAGTACACCATGAGAAACAGCGCTAGGCAAGCCTGACGTTTCTGCGAGTCTATCGGGCAATGGAGCATTGATCTATTCCCATGGAACTAGGAATGTCAGCACTCAGGATCCTGCTCTAGGTCATCACAGCATTTGTTAAAATCCATTTTCAGCCATTAGACAAGTGCCCCATCTTCTTTCTTACCTTCTGAAGCAAAAATTGGTTTTAAATGCTGCTGTCCTCACTCCTGATCAGCCTTTATCTAGGCCAATAAACCCTGTAAAACATCATCTCCCCTCTCCCTTCTTGGTCGTGTTTCTTGTTTTACGCCCATGCAATATACATTCTTTAAAATTTTTAAGGGCAATAAGCAAAGAGACCTAATGCGTTTCCAAGATTTTTACATTTTCTCACGCTTCCATTAGAAAATACTGCATTTAAGCAGACAGAAACATTTAGCACCTTTCTGGGACCCTGGGGACCCCATGGAAGGGCACCTCTTTTTGCACTGAATTATCAACTTCAATCCTTCAGCAACTAATCCAGTTCGTTACTGGACTGTGCCAGGAAGGAGTCTCTACCACTTGCCCATCTGTGTGCACGTTACAGTTGATAATCTGAGATGGCAGAAAACAAGATCCTTCACTGCAAGTTCAACCACATGCATAAATTTGTCCACTAACACATCCTTCTATGTCACAGCAAGTGACCGTGCCAAGTTGTGCACTGTGGTACRCAGAGCACTGGACACCCTGTGAGAGAACACGGCCACCAAGACCCCCCAGCAGCTCGGCCGGCCCGGAGCGCGGCGGCCGGCATCGCTCCCRCCACGGTCCCTGCACATGGCATGGGACATGCTGCACGTGTCGGCACCACCTGGGATCTGTCCCGCAGGAAGCCTGGCTGACGGGCAGGCACATTCCCAGGCACTGCTGGGCGCCCGTCCTCCTGGGGCTCAGCAGCTGCAGGGACACCCCGCACCTCTCCTCTAGGTGACAGTGCCTCCRGTCACCCAACTCCATCCCACTGCTCGCTGGCTCCGTCGCTGCCCTCCTTACCATCTGTTCCAGGTCTTGCAAACTCTCATACAGATGCACAAGTCTCTATGACTGAGGTAGCTAAAGACAGCCATCCAGACTTCCCTCTGCATCACGTGTGCGGCCCCATCATCCAGGGGCAGCGAGTCCGGAGGGGGGCTGATGGGGGGCGGCCGGATAACGTGCCGCTCCATCTGGATGCATTTGGGAGGAGAGAGCGAGGGCGGCGGGCGGGCTATGCCCCGCGGGGTGCTCCGCAGGCCGGGGATGAGCTGGTGCCGCAGCTCGCGGGGAGTCCCGTTCAGCCCCTTGCTGAACCTGTGCAGTCTCTCGCTGTTGTTCAGGGCCCGCTTCGGCTCCTCGTTCTCGCTCTCGGGTTCCGATTTGATGGGTTGGTGATTCTCGTTGGCAAGGCTGTTCTCGGTTTTTTGGATCTCCTGGTTGAGCTCCTTGCTGAGCTCCTTGCTCAGTTCCTTATTGGGGAGCCGCCTTTTCCGCCTCATCTTGAATTTCTTCTTGTCCCGGGAGTCGGCGCTCTCGGTGCTGGGCCCCGCCGTGGGCGAGCTCGACCGCGACTGGTCGCTCTCCTTGGCGCGGGGCGGCGCCTCGGGCACCTCGTCCTCGGGCTCCTGCTTGAGGCGGCGCAGAGGCTTCAGCAGGGCCGCGCGCTCGTCGGGGCCCTTCCACGACCGCCGCTGAAAGGGAAAACACGAGAGGTGACCCCGGGCCCGACACACCCGTCACRCGGGGCCGGCCGCCGCGCGGGGCCAGCGCGGCAGCGGCCAAAGGCACCAAGTGCCAGYGTGGGGACGACAGGCAGGGTCGGTCCCCTGGGCTCCCAGGCCCTGATAACCCCACGTAGCCCGTGCTGAGTCCTGCAGACTCGAGGCCCGTGCCCACTCGCAGCAGATGACTTGTGCACAGAGGACTGGAGCAGAGCCAGGGGGCCGGAGGAGCCAGGCTGGGGCCGGGAGCAGCGCCCACGTCCCACATGCTTTGGGGCAAGACACAGAGCTCAGACAGCCGGACCTGCAACCGCTGCTCGTGCTGCTGCTCTGCAACAGCCCGACCTGCTGCTCAGACCAGCCCTGGACCTCGTGCCTTGCGCCCTGCCCACCAACAGGCAGCAGCCATTTGCAGTGGGTTTTCCAGCAYTCTGGATAAAATAACAGCCGTAATCAAGTGTTTTCAGCCTCCGAGGAGCCACYCAAGCTTTGCTGCTCAAACTACCATCCTGTCAGAGCAGCAGTTTTCCAAACGGAAAGAAGAATGTGGCTGTTTCTTTTGAAACAGTCCAGAATCCCAAAATGGATCCAGAGCCAGAAAGTGGGAGAGCAGAGCCCTGAGCAACCCCCAGGCTCCCGCATCCCCAGACAGAAAGCGTTTTGCCATACCCGTTTCCTCATAGCAGGTTCCTGGGGTTTCTCAAATTTCCTCTTCCTCCGCAGATGCACCTCGTCYGACTTTCTCCGCAGGATGGAGTCAACTTGAGCCTTTTTGGAATGTTCCTCGGATTTCCGCCTGGGAGTCTCTTCGCAGTCGCCTTTCCGCTTCGCGGCGTCTGTTGCTTCCTTGTTGTCCCTGTTCATTTTCTGCTCCTTCAGCAATGAGCCTGGGAGATTTGATGCGTATTTGAATCCAGGTCCGCGCTTTTGCTTGTACGCCAAAGAGACACAAAACACAAACAAACTTTATATCTTAGGCCTTTCCGGGCGCTCCGCACCTCAGCCGCCTCCAGCACTAGTGGGGTTATCACTTGGTTAAGGGCACGAGGCTCACACAGGAGTCAGGGTAGCCTCTGTTTTACCCCCCTATGAAGTTACTTTTTGCACCCCCAAAGATTCTTTCTAACGAGGCAGAGGCTGAACCTAGTGGGTCACTAATTGCAAGGRACACGTCAGCTTTCATGCAGGGATTTTTTACAAAATCCCAGAGAACTCTTCCCATCTCCGAAGGCTGCACACAGCAGTGCACAGAGGTGATCTAAGTGTTCTCCAGGTTTGGGAAGGTGGTTGGCACGTTGGGCAGGACTAGGTGGGAAGGACTGGGCACAGGAGAGCCCTCGCCTTGCTCCCTTTATCTCAACTCTGTTAGGCACAAACCCCACAGCTGGCACAGGCAAAACCACCTGCAAGCCAGAGGGAGCCTTTCAGATTCCGTATCTCATTCCAGCACCGCTTATTCCCATTAAACTCACTTTTCCAGTTTTCCCTGCATGGTTGCACTTGGGACACTCCCAGCAGTTGGGCAGCTCGTCGTTAACCACACCATCCGATTCCTTCACCTGCGGAGAGAGGCACAGCTCGAATCCCAGGGCRGAGAAGTGGCTCCGGCCACGAGACCCGTGGCATCATAACCATCCCCTCTCCCAAGGGCTGCCCGAGCTCCTCCAGGGAAGGTTTTCCCCTGTGCACCCGTTGCCATCCACACTTACGTTCCTAGGTCTGCATTTACACTCGTAGGCATTTTCAGAAGCGCACAGCACGGTAAGGAAACRTTTCCTACAAACCATTCCCTCTGCATTTCCAAGCTAACGGTCCGAGCTAACCCTGGGCCGGTGGCTGCCAGGGCAGCCGGAGAACCGGCCAGCTCTTCAGGTGGCACAAGAAGAACAAGGAGAACAGGCCGACTCTGCTGGGTGGCACGAGGCAGTTTTGAGGCTTCCCACGGCCACGATTACCCAGCTCCCGCACCAGGAGAAGCGCCGGCTCCGGCCGTTCCACCGCGCCCAGCGGCACAGCTGCTTTCTGAGAGGAAAAGCACATGCAGGGCTGCTACACTGCGATTAAAAACACGTCCTGCCCCACGCAGCACAAGAGCTGGGGGCTTTTGAGCTTCCACACAGGAATCTGCGTTATTTTCCGTAYGGGAGAAGGGTATTTGTGCAAAGAAATTTCTGTGAATGGCAGTGGGAAGCAGAGCTAAGCTCCGAACAACGCTCCGGGCACACACGCATGCTCACAGACGGCACACGGGCAGCTCAAGGGCTTGATTATATTTTTAGAAAAAAGCCTTGGAGAAAGAAAGAAAGGAAAAAAAAGAAAAGAGGATTTATTACTACCGTAGGAAAKGCAACCAGGTGACTGTCAGGACAAACAGCTGGGGCTGGCGGCACCAGGGAGGCTGCAGCTCCACCGCCCCGCCRAAGAGGGGCAGGTTGAGGGTGTTCCCGACCCAACGCCGGTGGGATGGGGACACGTGGGCCGTGCAGGGACACGTGGGAATGGCCACGATGGGACCCACTGGAACTGCTGGGAGGCAGCCATGGGAATGGTGGTGAAGGGACCCRCCGTGCAGGGACCCCCCGGCGCCAGGCGCTTCCAGCGGCGAGCGCGGACGTGTCCGGCTCTCGCAGCCGGAGTTAATAACCGAGTAAATGAAGTGGGCAGGATTTGAATACTGGCTTTATCACCGCTGTGTGCCTTTGAACCTGCTTTCCCAGGGAAAAGCAGGATACTCCAGGAGGAGCTGTGCACATCCCTGCCTCCGGGGAGCAATTCCTGGCRCCGGCCCAAGCTGGGAACAAGTTCTTTCCCGCACAGACTACACAAGGACTGCTGGGGAAGGCGCTGCGGCTGCGGCCCTTCTGTGCGGGATTCGGGAATGGAGCGGCCTCATCCCCRCACCCAAACCTGCTCTAGGCACTGGGAATGTCGCGTCCAGGCGGCAGCCGCTCCGCACGGAAACCTCCCTGCAGGGCAGGCGGCTGGAGCCGAGCGGCGCTCCCRGTCCTCGTGTTCCTGCTGCTCTGCCAACGCACCCGACCACATTAACAGTCCCATCGTTATCGCTATGTCAGTTTGAAGGAGGAAAAGGGATGGGCTCCTACCTGGGAAAATAGCCCTCCTTTCCTTAGGAAAGTGGGGTCAAACTGCGCTCAGCTTGGGTTGGGTGCCCGGTTTGTCCTCCGCAGCTCGGGTTAACGTGTTCCCTCTGAAGGCAGCTCCCCTCTTGGCCAGTGTTGGAGGACAGACACATCCGTGGATGTGAGGCTGACTCTCYGTGGGACAAAACCCACCACAAACATGCTCCGGGTATTTGGATCTGGGTGAGCTCCAACCAGGAGTCACTCCAGGCACGTGCTGAACTCCATGAGCTCAGGGATACCTCGGAGCTACTGACCAAGCAAGGGAATCCTTTCTCGCCACATGAGAGTAAGAAACTGAGAAAAAGCAGGCTCATTCCTTCCCCAATCCAGTTTCTTCTCATGTTCCCCAAAATGCCTTTGCCAGACAAGCTTTATGGGAGACGACGCCCACAGTTCACGTGTGTTCCTGCCTATCTACTGGGCAGGACAGGAGGGGACTTCTGGGTGGAGAGCAGACCAKCTGCCCAGGTGCTCTGTCTGCACCCAAGGGTGTTTCCCACAAATACTATTTATGGGGCTCCATCCTCTGAGCTTAAGTCCATGTCAGGGGTTACAACACCGACACAGTGAGCCAGTCTTTTGCAGCACAGAAAATGATGGCTGCCACGTGGAATAACGAGCAAAGGAAACAATCCAGGGAGAGGCTCCATCTTCCTTTTGTTCTTCTCCTGCGTAGCCTCCTCTGGCCTTCCAAGAGGATTTCCAAATCCTACTGGCAATGGTGCCCTTTTGTCCCAGTAAATACTAGCAGTTATCCCACTGCTCCAGCTTGCCAAAAGCACTGGGAAATTACAACACAAGGTGCTCCGTAAATCTCCCACTGTCCAAATTTCAGAGATACCTGAAGCAACATCGATCCGAGTTACCAAAACAGYGCTCAAAGCACCACCCCTGCACGAAGGAACAAACAGCCCTTGCTGGATTTCACAGGTCTGACCCACATCCTGTGCAACTAGCCCCAAACGCAGCACGGGGAGGGGACATGGAACTGGAACCATCACCAGACAGCAACGCTGTCCTCTGGACCTGACACTGCAGAGGAGCAGGGCAGCGCGGGACGGGACCCCTCTGAAGGGAGCAGCTCCTGCTCTGTCCCGTCAGCCCTGKTGTGACGGGACACAGGCCAGCCCCGGTCCCTCTGCAAACGCCACCGCGGCAGGACGTGGGCTCCCCATTCCCCCGGAGCTAGGAGCCAGCCCCAAGGGACACGGAGCACGTGGCTCCCGGCTCCCTTAAACAATATAAACCCCCCGATCATTCAAGGCTATCAYTTGCTTCTCGTGCCAGGTCTTTGCTCCCTAACTGCCCAGAGATGGAGCCATGAATACCCTCTCCTGCCCGTGCACCACCACCACTGAAGCGACACCCGATCCAGCTTTTACTTCCAACAGGCACCACATCCTCATACTCACCTTAAGGCATCCTGGGTGTATTATTTCATTACAAATGGAGCATTCCATTAGCATGAGATTAAACTTGCTCTCCTCCTCTTCCACAGTGTCCTCTTTCCCAGCTTCTCCACACACCAGACACACAGCAGTATGAGGCAACACCGGCTGTTTACACACATCAGAAAGAAGTCTTGATCAGGGCACAGAAAGCATATGGAAATAAAGATCACAACATTCATTTATGGCATTCTCACCCCAAAGTTTTGAGAGAGAGAAGATAAAGAGGGCCCAGTTAGCAAGCAGCCGAAAGCTCCTTTTCAACTGGTGATGAAGGCAAGGCACACGGCGCAGCATTTGGGGCTGGGTACCCTGCCAAGCATCACAGGACACGTACCAGGGAACGCAGGTGACAGCACCACAGATCAACGGGGAATTCCAGGGATGAAGAGGAACCCTGTTTCGTGGGTCCCTTGGATCAGTGAGCTCACACACACGGTGCTACGTGAGTCACTTCACTGTTGTACAGCAGGTGGATTAAAAGCAACCCAGAACACGGTGGGCACAGGCGCTGAGCCTCACAGCCTGACCGGGCGTTTGGCAGCTCCCCATTTTACAAGCTGGGCAGCCAGAGGTTGCGGAGCTGCTCCAGGCCACAGCAGAGCACGAGGAGGCCTCTTTGCCCCACAGGCTGCTGCAGCCTCCGTTTGGAGGCTCTGCTCCCAAACGGGACGCTGCAGAACGCTGCACAGGCACCTAGGAAGAGAATTCCTCTCCTACAAGGGCAGCAGCGGGAAGCGTGGTGACTTTTTCCATTTATCGTTGATGCAGAAGGACAACTGCCACATCTCTCATTTCTGCGCCCTGTGTCAAAGCACTGCCTGCCAGTGCAATCAGAAAAGCTCACTTCTTGTGCAAACAAGGACCAAAATTCTGGTTTGCTGCAATAGGGTGTAAGCCTCATGACAAGAAAGAACTAAGATCTTCACCAGAACTTGGCTGTAGTGGGAAATAAAATCAATTAGTTTGTAACTCCTCAACTACTAAGCAGTGGAGGCTGGAGGTATGGCCACGTGTAGCAAGGACCTCTCCTATGAGGGCACCTGTTCAGTGATCAGAACTGGGCAGCAAAGTGGAGCCTTCAGGAAATTTCAAGACACAGGAAAGACCCGGCTATGTTAAAGCAGCACAGAGCTCACCGGCAATGGATAGCTCGGCTCTGGCAGCACTCTGCTGCTTTCACGAGCCCATGCTTACCGGGGCTTCATTTTGAAAGCATTTTTCAAATGTTAATTCCCACCCTTCTTCCAGGCTCACAACTGGAATCCCCAGATACCACTGCATTGCGGGAAATCAGGGAAAAGTTAAGTGGTCCAAAGCCATAAAGTTCTGCCCTCTCTGTCCAATCACCCCCTTACAATAACTAGTATCCACACACGGGGCATGCAGTGAGCATGGACACCCCAGGAACGTGGGGGTTTTCCTGGCTGGGTCTGCAGGGCCCATCACAGAATCACAGAATGGTTGAGGTTGGAAGGGACCTCTAGAGATTGTCTAGTCCAAGCCCCGTGCTCGAGCAGGGACACCGGGAGCACAGGGTGGCACCCAGGCGGGTAACCTCCCATCCCGGGAGGCGGCAGAGCCGGGACAGCAGCTCCGCGGTCAGGACTCRTCCTCCCGGCAGAGCCTCGCGCTCCCTCCGGCTGCGCAGGGCGTCCCGGCGCTCCGGCCACCTTTCCCGACGGAGCCTTTCCTGTTACCAGCTGCCACAGATAAACTCCATTTTCCAGGCTGTTCTCAGGAGTTTACAGTATTCCCCCTGCTATTTATACCAATGGGAAGCTCCAAGGAGTAGAGATACCTCTAGAATTCATGCAAAGACTGAGCGAGGAGCCAAAACAGGCCACCTCCAAGGCCCTGGGTCCTAAGTGGGGCTCTTGGGAATAAAACTGCAAGTACTGACTGAAAAAAAATGCTTTTTCATAAGCTGGGAGGGCCTGGGAAGACGGCCACACTGAGCCAGAACAGAACCCAGTTCATCTGCAAAAGGCTCGGACTGTGTGTCAAGAAAACTGCTTAGTACGAAAGGCTCCTTCGTCAGGCAGTACAATAAAGCACATTTCAGCCCTAGTTTAATCTCCCTGCAAAAAAAAAAAAAAAAAAAAAACAGGCAGCAGGATTTCACAATTTCTTCTCCCTGGAGAATAATAAATTCTTCATCCATGCTGTTCAATTCATGCCACACTCCAGGAAATCAAGTGCTCAAAAAAAAAGACACTCGAGCTGCCAAAGCACTCGGCAGAAAGGCAGATACCCTGGGAGATCCCGGAGAGCCGGATGAGATCCTCCGTGCCAGAACAGCACACGGCACAGAACAGGACAAGGTGGGAGCTACGGGAGCATCTCCTGGAAACACTAAGTGCTTATCAGTTTTTAAAGCCTGACCATGGCACCTAATGCCTCCACTTCAGTTTCCTCAACAGGATTAAGACAGAAAGCCTGGGTGAAGGGAGCGGTAAACAAGACTAAATCAAGAGTCAGGTGAAAATCAGCATGGAGAGGGTAATGTATCAGTTATGATTAGACAACACTCCTTCCCTCTAAAAACAAACAACCCTCTTCAGAAGCTGATGCTGTTTAACATCCACAAATACGAGGTCTTCCAGTGCATTGGTGGAGGGCTCAGACTTTCCAGGGTAGCTGATCACAGCGGAGAGGAGCAGGAAAGCGCAGCTCATTCTTATGCTTGGGAGGCTGCTCTGAACCCCGAGGAGCAGCTCAGCGGCACAGTCGGTATGAAAGCACCAGCTTCAAAAGGTGCTTGGACAAGTTAATGGGAGAATAATCTCTCAATATTTGTCAAGTAGAAAGCTATCGCTCAGGGCCCAAGGAGCTTCCAAGCAACGTATCCGTGCAGCCCAGGAAACTGGTGGCGATGCCTCCTGGATGCTCTGGTGCTGCCAGCCCCTGCGGAGCCCCGGCCTGGGCTGGGAGCCTCTCTGGCTCTTCTGGCCCAGGGAACAGCAAACAAGTTCAAATCCAGGTCTCGCCTAGCCTGGGGTCAGCAATGGCAAACTCCTGGGGGATATCAGGCTAAGAATTCCCTGCATCTTAAGCAGCTTGAGTGAAAATGGTTGCAAGGTGGTTATTCAGAAAAAATCAGAGAAGATTTGAATGAAACAATATTTGAATGAACCAACTCATCCACCTTTGTATCAGAACTTCCCCGCGTTCCCCCTTCTCCCCCAGCCCCCAGCATGTTAAAGTGATTACAGCACTGAATTCTGCCTTCCGTACCCCTGAGGACAAAAGCAGTGATATAAAGGTTATTTAAGAGCTTTGGGGGGTAGGGATGGAAAGCAACGGGGAAAAACAGGCAGAGATYACACAGTTTTGCCATCTTACAGACTATTCCAAGGAGAGCTGTCAGTCCCRGGCCTTGTCATCAGGAGCCACGGACACAGGAAAGCCACCCGAAGAGCCGGGGCACTTACCGCGATGCACTGCCTCATGATGCAGGACTGCTTCATCCTGCCAGGGCCCCCGAACTTCTTCATGTCTTTGCAGAAGTGGCACTCGCCGCACTCGGTGCGCAGGCAGGCTTCGCACTTGCGGCATCGCGTCCTCCTGCGGCGCGCGCCCGCGGTGCTCCGGTTAGCTGCGAGCTTCACGGCTGCCGCGGCGCCCAGCTTCCCTTTGGGCCGGCCCACCGCCCTGTTCTGGAAGAGGCAGACACCGGGGGTCAGGAGGAGGCAGACACCGGGGGTCAGGAGGAGGCTCCCTGCCCGCCGCGAGGGCTGCACGACCCGTCGGGACACGTCGCGCACGTCTCCGGTGCGAAACCCGCAGCTCTGGGCAATGCTCAGCGGACACACGGGATCACTCTTGAGGCTCAATGACCTCCATCAGGTTTGGAGGGAAAGATGCATTGCGAAAAGACAAAGAAACTCAAAGTTAGCACAGACCAGAGGGCAGCCAGAGCCTGCTCGCACACAGCCCTGCCGGTCCCGTCGTCGATGATGGGCTTGGCTGGGACCAAAGAGGCCACCRGTGCCCTCGGGCGCTTTGAGGAGGCTCTCGGGCCCTGCTTGGGTCAAGTCGCAAGGTTTATTTTCCTCCTTTGGATATGGAAGCAACTAAGGAGGCAGTCAAAGTGATAGTAAGGTTAAGTACAACAGGGTTAGGTACACAGTGATTCAAGTCGCAGCAATCTCCCTAAAAGAAAGAGATGCCTATGGACTGCTGCCAAGTGAGAAAGTGGGAAATAAAACACAGATACTACTGAACCCTTCCAAAGGGCTCCCCTTGTATCTAGCACTAGCAAGTGCTCAAAAATAGCATACTAACCAGTGCCATCCAAAGGCTAAAAAGGGCATCTTGGGTCTTGATTTCCTTGACCTTTAAGGCAGAAGCTAAGGGTRCATGAAAAGATTTTGAATGATTAGGTTAACTACAACACATTCAYTCTAGAGCTCTACATTTCACATCCCAGTGAGAAACTCCAAGGCAAACACCAGGATACACAGCTCAAGCCAAACTACCGGGTCATCGCACGGGGTAACTACACAAGAGCTGCCGTGGCCAATGCCACCAGAGAGCTTTCTCCATAAAGATCATCAAAAATAGGGCCCCCTAAGGCTCATGTCTCTTAGTGTTGATCCAACTTTGCCACTCTCTGCGCTTCTCAGCATCTCCGAGCGGGACGGGACGGGGCGGTTTCACTTTCCGTTCTCACAGCCCCGCGGTCACGGCAGGGGCAGGTTGGCTACAGAAAGCGGCTCTTGCGGAGAGGCTCTGCTCGGCGGAGCAGGTCACACAGATTTCAGGAAGATTTTGATTACCTTCCCTCTCAATGGTCTTTGCTCACAAGCTGAATCCCCCCGTGCTAGCTGAATGGACAGACGCGCAGCTCTCCGTCAGAAACGGCCCCACTCGCGTAGCCTTGAGGTCAAACATCCTTGAAAACAAACCTCCAGCCTAACTTTCCGACTCCTAAGGATAGTCAGCTCTGGCAGGATTGGCTCAGAAGCACCTGGGTAAGGGCTCGCCCTCCTCCTCAGCACAAACCCCCTCAGCCTTCTCTTCRCTGGGTCTCCCTCCACTCGCAGTGCAAAACATGAACCAGAGCCCAGGTCTGGGCAGGAGGAAACTGCAGGACGTGTCACCCAGGTCCCCTCCGCCAACACGAGGCTCAGACATGGCCTAAYACTGACTTTTCAGGCAGACAACCGCCACTTACACCCCGCATCGTGTCATTTGTCTCAACACAATCTCTTTCAACTAGGTATCAAACCAGCTACTTGTCCTGCTGGGAGGCACCTTCCGACCGTCACAGCGACGCGAGCCAAGTCCTGATTCCCAGGGCTGTTTCTTACACACCAGGACACTGCAAAGGCTGAAGGGGAAAAAAGGCTCCACCTGGTTACGGGATTTGGGAATCCTAATTAAAAGCAGGAAAGCAAAGGGAGCAGAGCGAGTTGGCAGCCAGACTGCACTGCCCTCCTTGACTCCCTTGCAGCCCCTCACCACGGGGCAGGAGGACGCAGAGACCTGTGACCTCACCGTAGGTGCGGGGCATATTCCTGCAGCAATTCCCACTAGGATCTAGTTCCAAGGGGCTCAACTTGGTCACTTAAAATCCTCACCAGAAGGAAATCTGGCCTGCGGTTTGCTATCCCAAACAGGGTTGGGATCCCAGCGGGGAGAAGGAGCCTCCACGGCAACTTGGGGTTTATTTAGCCCGTGGCAGAGCACCAGCTGAATTCCAGGCCCACGGCAGCCAAGAGCCCTGCCGGATTTGCAGCTCTGCGGCACGGGCAGCAGAGCCGCTTCCTTCACGGTCCTCGTTCCCACCTGGCACCAAGCTCGGCAGCCTCCTGGAGCGCCCTGCGGAACGAGGGCTGCACAACGGGCACAGCAGGGATCGGGAGCTGCATGGCTTGGAGCCAGGTGACTTCTCCCCTCTCCGAGATCCCCTTATCTCTTCTCCAGACAAGGCCCCAGGCCGAGTCTCGAACACGCAATAACCCATCCCTGCTGCCACCACCATCCCCAACACAACTGATGTTCTTCTGGTTCTTACCAGCCTGCAAGGAGCCAAGGCAGGGCCTGACAACCTCCAGGAGAGCTCCTGGTGGACAACACGTAGGGAGGACCGGGTGGGAAGAATAGGTCATTGGTGATGGAAAACTCTCAACAAGGAGATTGGGAACAAACCCAGCTATGGCACCGCCAGCTCTGCAAGAGCCCCCAGCAAAGGCTACATGGAGCAGCGGCTGCATGTGGCTGCTTGGAAGCTGTCGCTGCACCCACGGGTCCTCCAACACCCGCTCAGCGGGTGTCACCTCCCTGCAGGGCAGTTCTGAGAAGCCACCCAGCTCTGCAGCAAAGCGGTTCTGCCCGTTTGTCCTGCACCATCCAAGCCCCGGGTGCCCCGAGCACAGCTCTTTGGCAACAGGATCTCAATCTGGGTGTTTCCAGCAAGAATTTCTAACATTTGCAGTCGGGAAGTGCAGCTAAAACCCCCCAGATTAACAGGGTGACCAGATTTTGGAGCCCGGCACTCAAGAGCCATCGGCTGCTGAAGACAGGGAGAGCAGAGGCTGGCGCTGCAGACACTGCYTGGCTCTGCCRGCGTGTCCCCAGGCACCTTCACGCGCACATCCCTCTGCTCCGGAGAAGGAGAGGAGCTGCTGGCACCAGCCGGGCGAGGGACGGGGCTGTGGCCTGCCCCAAAAGCCAGGCAGGCGACTCCCACAGTGCCAGAACCGGCTCTTCTGCACRGGCCCAGCGGGGCCAGGACAGCCAGGCCCGACCCCGAGCCCCTTGCTGCCACCCAAGGGCCACCCGAGCAGCTTGTGAATCCGCTGCATGAGTCTCTCCAAGAAAAAACGTGGACTCTTTAGCATTCGTACGTACAAGGGGCTGCGCAAACGTATCCCTTCTATTTACAAGCTGGGTGTTTTGCTCTTGCAACAGATGGGCGGACTGCAGTTTATTTGCGGCAGTTTAGCCAGCTCCACACAACAGCACCAGCCCCGAGAGGCAGGCGAGGAGCCGGGACCCTGGGCCTGAACTAGAGGGGCCAAGGGGCCCTCCTGCTACCGCCTCACTAGCCCAACTGGCGCCAAGAGCCAGGCTGGTGCACGGACCCCGGCTGCTACCAGAGGATCCCAATAAAGTCACCTGCCCCTCACTGGTACAGCCACCAAGTCACTGGCTCCTCACCGGTACAGCCACCAAGTCACCTGCCACTCATCAACACAGCCATCAAATCACTTGTCCCTCACCAGTATGGCCACCAAGTCAACCGCCCCTCACTGGTACGGCCACCAAGTCACCTGGCCCTCACTGGGACAGCCACTAAGTCAACCACTCCTCATCAGTACAGCCACCAAATCACCCGCCCCTTACCGGTACAGCCACCAAGTCGGCCACCAGTCACCAATACACCCCTGCTCCTTCAGTACCACCAGGATCCTACTCAGAGAGGACCTCGGCAGGGAGAGGAGGAGAGGGGACAAGAGCGTTACAGGAGCTCAGGGATAAGTAAGTTCAAGAGGCTGAAGAGCAGGGTGCTGTTGTCAGCAATGTCCCCAAAGCGCCACCAGCTCAAGGGTCCAAAGCGCCGCCACGGGTGTCACAAGCGCTTGACCAAAGCCAACCTGCCCCAAAACTCACACGTGCTCAAACTCCACCAGATTCCTATTCCCTCCTGAAGAGGAGGGCTCACACCAGTCACATCACCCACCAGGTATCCACTCCGCATCCCAAAGCCCAATCCCGTTTCCCAGAACGGATGGAAAAGCACACATCTCGCAGCTTCAGCCGCATCCGACATCACTCCAGCTTTTCACGTGGCTTAGGCTGAGATCAACTGGCCTGTCTGTGCTGGGGCCAGCGCCCCAGTTCGCTCTCCTCCCGTGGCCAGGAGAGAGAAGTTAGATCTGAAGAGTGGAATGAGATGCACCGGCAAAAACCTGCTGTGGAGATAAGCTGCACCCAGCGTCGGAGCTCCTGAAAAGAACCAGGAAACCGGATGGACCCAGGGCACCTTGTGCAAAGGCTGCTTTTCTTATGGCTACTCCAGGAAAAAAATCCCTCCAGTTCTCAGCCAGGAGGCTTTTCCTCAGGGTAACCGCTTGCACAAGTGGCTCTACCAGACCAAGTGTCACTATGGGGCATCTCCGCCCCGAGCGCTTCCCAACGCAGACAGCCCCACGGCTTCATGTGCTGCACTTAGAGCCGGGCAGGAGGGACAGTCGGGAGGGCCGGGAGCAGCTCGGCTGCCATCCGAGCACCGCGCTGTGACACCCGCGGCGTTGAAGCGGTTCGGCCTAGCCTAACACAGCTGCTACCTGTGTTAAAAGCAACTTGTGTGAAAATACCACCGGGTCCACACAAAGCTTTTCCTTGCTCTGTTTTGAGCCAAGACAACAACAAACGCTCCGGTTGCCTTTGCTGCGGTGGCCACAACGCTAAAATTCAGGTTCGTGTCAAAACCTCCAAGGACTCGCGCAGGGAGGGTGGCTGCTTCTTGGCGGTTATTTAAGCTCCTAAGACACAAACGGCATYGAGCCCTATGGCTTAGCAGAAGGGAAGAGGCCCAGAACACAACCCGCCTTCCAGCAAGCACCAGCACCTTCCGCAGGGATCCCGCAGCACCCGCCTGCTCGCGGGGCTGTCGGAGCACGTGGCAACTGCACCCGCTGGGCAGCAAACGAAGAGGCGTCGCATGGAGCGAAGCTCAGAACAGGGAAGCGGGGCCGGGAGTCGGGCAGTGCCCCGGCCTGCTGSTTCGTGCGAGCCTGGGAATTAAGCAAAGGTTTTAATCAAGTTCCTCGTGCAAGAACCAGCTCCGTTTCTCGTTGCRCGGACTACAGGCCCGTGCACTAACATCTCCGCCGGTGCCTCCGCTCTGGATCACGCAGTGTCAGGGAGCAGCACCGCCGTTCTGCCCGGCCTCCTTTCCTGCCCGGCTTTCTTGGGCGATTATGGAGCAAAAAGCAGCACAATTAGTGCCAGGGAAAGCGGGGAGGCTCCGTACCCGGCCTCCCTACCAACTTGTTGCAAATTATGGACCTGCTTGGAGGAGCAAATCATGGAGAGTCCTCAACAGAAATATCAACTTTAGGCTTAAATTGYGTGCACATGTTTAATGCTATCCCAAGTCCGTTTTTAATTGCTCAGGCTGTTCTTAGAGAGCAAAATGGGCAACCTAGAACATATGTTCTGGATTATTTTTCGCAGATTACTCCATAAATTTCAAAAGTTTATTCTCCTTCCTCCCCCCCCCAAATAATGAATAATAATAATAATAATAATAAAAGCCCTTCAGAGAGCAGGCCCTGGGAGCATTAATTAAAGTTCCC